ATTTTAATTAAATTTATATACAATTTCTTATTTTCTAAATTTTATCTCTAGTTTTTATGCTTGAAAATATCTCCTCTTATTTTTATTATACATAAATAAAAAGATTTCAATTATCTTTTACAAAATTTCTTACATTAATATTAAATTCAAAACATATAGAATCACAATATAATTCTATATTAAAATCTTTATATACATATTCTTTTCAATAAAAAGTAATATTATAAGTTTATTACGTACTTTGCATTAAATTATATGCATATATTCCTGTCTTTAGCATTTTGCTACTTCAGTTTTTATTATCAAAATAATTTCCTAATTATTCATATTTTTGATCACCTTCAAACTTATAAATATATATTCTTTTTATAGGAAAATATTGAAAAGTTGGTAAATTATAAAATAAAATAATAAAAAGTCCTTCAAAAAGGGTTCCATTTTTAAAGTTTTTATTTAAAATTTACTTTTATAAAATTATAAATGTAACTTTAATTGTATTACAAAAGAATATTTAAAATGATAAATATCATATGAAAATAGAGAAATTAGGCAATATGAATGAGGTATTATTTTATTATTTAGGTAAACTAGTGTTTCGCAAAATCAGATCAGATCAGATTTTATTCAAATCTGATCTAATCTGATTTTCATTTTTCAGGATCTGAATTCAATTCAAATCTGACTGATCTGTTAAAATCCAGATCTGATCTGAATCTGACAGATCGAATCTCAAATTTGGATCTGACAGATCAGTTTAAGTCTAAATCTGATCTGATTTGAATCCAAAAGTATTATTGAAAAAATGAATTTTTAGTTCTAAAAGAGTTCTGAAAATGTTTCTTTTCAATAAAAGAAACCTTTTCAGCTCTAAAAGAGTTCTAAAAAATTGTTCCTTTTTATTGAAAGGAACTTTTTCAGCTCTAAAAGAGTTCTGAAAAGTCATTCTTTTTCATTAAAAGGAACCTTTTCAACTCTAAAAGAGTTTTGAAAAAGTCATTCTTTTTCATTGAAAGGAATTTTTTCAGCTTTAAAGAGTTCTGAAAAGTTATTCTTTTTCATTGAAAGAAATCTTTTCAGCTCTAAAGAGTTCTGAAAAGTCATTCTTTTTTATTGAAAGGAACCTTTTTAGCTCTAAAAAAATTCTGAAAAATTGTGCCTTTTCAATAAAAGTATTTTTCAGCTCTAAAAGAGTTTTGAAAATTCGTTTCTTTTCAATGAAAGAAACTTTTCAGCTCTAAAAGAGTTCTAAAAATTAATTTCTTTTCAATGAAAGGAACTTTTTAATTCTAAAAGAGATCTAAAAATTTGTTTCTTTTCAATAAAAGGAAATAAATTTTTGGCTCAAAAGAAGTCTGAAAATTCATTCCTTTTCATTGAAAAGGAACTTTTCAGCTTTAAAAAAGTTGAATTCAGATCTAACGGATCAGATCTGAATCTAATCTGAATCTGACGAATCAGATCTAAATTCAAATCTGAATCTGACGTGTTCAGATCTGATAAATCTGATCTGATCTGAATCTGAATCTGAATTCATGCGAAACACTAAAGTGAACGGTTCTTTCATAAATAGAAAGTGAGTTTTTAGATGAAAATATTTTATATTTACAGATATCCTACAAATACAAAAAAACTTTTAAAATAATCTTTCAAGTTTATTTAAAAATATGACATTATTATATAAAAAATTTTTGATTTCTTATTTATTAAACTTTCATGTGATTTTGTAATATTTATTTTTAATTTTTTTATTTCTTTTAATTATTATCAAATGTAATATAAATTTTTGAAAAATTAGTTTTACCTAAAAGATTATAATTTTATTTTAATTTGAAATTTTTAAGATAATAGTTTATTAAAATAAAGTATTTTTCAAGAAAGTTTTTACCTTTTATACTATATATAAATTCACATATTTCATTTTTATTTGTTTATTAAAAGAAAGTCATTTAGATATATATTATTACGTTAAGTATTTAAAATATTTATTTTTAATGCATTTAACTATATTTAATAATATATGATTTTGTTGAATTTTTGAAAATTTCTAATTATAAGTTTGAAATAAGTCTAGAATTTGCTAGATATTAAAATTAATATAATTAATAGCTTTAATATGTAAAATTACTTATAATTTTCATTAAAGAAATTTAATTTTTGAAAGTAAATTATTTGTAAAAAAGAAAAATTTATGTGAATAAAGATTATCTGTAAAAAAAAATTATTTATTTATTTATTTATTTATAAAAAAGTTTAAAAAATAATAAATAATAATTATAAGATACTGAATAAAATCACTTATCTGACACTTGAGCTGAATGATTATTGCTATATATAAAGTAACTAATAATATTAGAAATCAAATTTAATTTGTGATTCAAAGCTCTACAGAAATCCTGAATTAGCCAATCAAATTTGATTTATCTAATATAATAGTTATTAGTACTTTATATACTGAATAAATTATTACTTATAACCTATAATTTAATATATTATTTGCTCTTCTTTTATTAATTTAAATAGATAATTCTATTAATATATTAGAGGTTCTTTATAATAATTAAAAACATAATTTTTAATTTTAAAAAAAGTATATATACTTAGTATATTAAAGAATTTATAAATTTATTTAATGACCTGCAATTTGAGAATATAAATAGAATAATAAAATGATGAAAAAAACAAATAAAATGTAATCATTATAATCTATAATAATATTTTCTCAATATTAAATAATGCATAAATACAAGCTATGTGATCCCCTCTAGCCAAAAAGGTTGTTAGAATTCTTTCACGTGATTTACAGGTTATATGTCTTTCGCATAAATATATTAAATGCAAATTTATTATCAAAGCCATTGAGCATATATTTTTACATATAATATTTTGTCGATAAATAATCTTTTACCATTTTCCTAACTTCTAATCTCTACTAACCTACTAATCCATCTCTTACATATATGGGTGGATTTCTAGAAAAATCAGGTTCCGAGAAATTTTTGACTAAAATTAAGAGCTTATAAAAATTCTCAATTTTGTCAAAAATTCACGGAACCTGATTTTTCCTAGCAACCTATGATCTTCTTTTAAATGCGGTAAATTTTGCTGCAGAGTGTGTATTTTTGTCTCTTATTTCCGAAAAGCTCTGATGGTTCCTGTGTGATTGGATCATAGAAAATATGAATGAATCTATAATAAAAAATTTTATCTTTCATGCTTTCGGCTTAAAACCTGGCAAAGTATTCATTATTATTAATAGAGTCGATTAATTAACTGAGCTCGACAGATGTATTTGACGCAAAGTAAATGTTTTAAATTTGGAATCCAGTTAATTTAATTTCGCAATATTTGTATTTTCTATGTAGGACTGAATGGTAAGCCTCGAATGGAGATATCTTGCTTAACAGGTTATAAAGGTCTAGCATTTTCTCCCTGTTCGATCTTATCTAACGGGTTGCAGATTTCTTCCTTGTCATCCTTATTTGACACTTGCCAACTTTATTGCGCAGTTTATATAATTGTTGGGTGTTTTTGTCTGTAGGCTTTCTTTTTCTGCGCGGACTCTTTTGATTTGATGATGAGCAGTGGAGCGGAATTCAAGTAATCATGTGGACGAATATTGTTGCGACAAATTATAAGAGGGTAATACATGATTTTTGGTTTGCAAAAACGCCAAGATTCGTGGGACAATTTTTAGGAGCGGAAAAACCATCATCTAATCTCCGAATCTAAAGACGGTACGTCATCTTTACGCCATTTAAACATCTGTAGTGAAACATATCAAAACCTTATATAAATATAGTTCAATTACCTTAAGGGAAAAAATGGGTTCTTTTGTTACGAACTCATACTAATAAATTTGATATCTAAAAGAAAATATGGCCAACAAATACGCGAGTAACCCGCGTTTTTCTTTCGTGACATTGACTATTGCAGTGTTATTTAGCATATTAGTTGGACTTTCTTTAGTTCAAGCTCAACTTTTGAATCAAGAAGATGTTCTTATGGAAACCGATAGTTGGTTAGGTGATAAGGCTGAACAAATATTGGAAGATAAAATCAAGTCCTTTTTCCATAACAAATGGGGTAATAAACAAAGTAAAGCTGATGACGGCTGGGTTAAGATTTTAACTCATAAAGCTTTTCCTGAATATGAAATTAAATTAAAAGAGCCAAAACTTTGTGATCCTAATGTTCAACAGGTTTGTATATTACGACTAATAAAAAAAAGAATTAAATCTTGCATAAAATTCTTATCCAAAATTTTTTTTCATAGTATTCTGGATATCTTGATGCTGGAAATAAAAAACATTTCTTCTTTTGGTTCTTTGAATCGAGAAATAATCCTAAAGAAGATCCTGTTGTCCTTTGGGTTCGTATTTATATTAATCTTCATGTTGAATCGCTGATCTAAAAAATTTTTCATTTATCAATCATTAATTTCCATTCTTTGTTTGATTAGCTTAATGGAGGTCCTGGGTATGTATAAAATTAATTAGTGATTAGGAAATAGAAAATCAGTAACTAATTTCATATTACTGTATTATTATATCTCAGATGTTCTTCCTTGACTGGTTTGTACTTTGAACTCGGTCCTTGCTCAGTTACTGAAGATGGAACCTCTACAACTTTGAATGAATATTCATGGAATAACAATGCCAGTGTTTTATTCTTGGATCAAGTATGAATTTTTGTTACGACTTGTTGCTGATTCCTTATGATATTCGGTAATATAATTAAATGGATTTAATAATATATAGCCTATAAATGTTGGATATTCTTATGGAGATGGTGTTTCAAACACTCTTGCTGCCGCCAGTGATGTTTATGCTTTCCTCCAAATCTTTTTTAAAGAATTCACCCAATACGCAAACTTGGATTTCCATATTGCTGGTGAATCGTAAGTAATAAATTACGCGAATTCGGAAATCCAATTGAAACTATCTAATATGCTTTTTTTTTTCTTTTTTTTTTTTAAATAGGTATGCCGGCCACTATATTCCTGCTATCGCTGCGGAGGTTAATAACAACAATAAAGGAGTTTCTTCATGGATCCTTTCAAGGCCAGAGATATCACAAGATCTTACCCATATTAATCTTGTATCAGTTCTAATAGGCAACGGTCTCGTCGATCCTTTAGTTCAATACGAATACTATCCACAAGTAAATTGCTGTTTATCTTTATCTTTTAAAATATTTTACACTGAAATTATTAACATGTAAAGAAATATCATTTATCTAGATGGCATGCAACAGTTCATATGAGCCAGTTTTGGATCAAGATACCTGTTTCCGAATGGCTAATGCATATCCGGAATGCGCTAGAATGATTAATAACTGCTATAAAAACAATAACGTCTTTTCTTGTCTTCCAGCTTCAATGTATTGTAATAATAAGATGATTCAACCTTACCAAGCTTCTGGACAAAATCCTTATGACGTAAGAGAGAAATGTGAAGGGGGTGATTTATGTTATCCTATCCTTAAAGCCATTGAGAAATACTCCAATCGTGAAGATGTCAAGGAAGAATTGGGAGTTTCTGATAATATCCAATACAAGTAAGCAAATCAAATGTCTTTGAAATATTCGTTTTGAAGCAATTTTAATTTTAATAAATTTTTTTCGCGAATTTTATAACAGGAGCTGTAATATGCAAATTAATTTTGCTTTCCAAATGGCCGGAGATTGGTAAATAATTGCGATTATGTAAATTTGAGTTTTAAACTTTCTTTACTAATTGTACCTTTACTTGTTATCGTTAGGATGAGACCGTTCCATCTTTTAATCCCAGGACTGTTAAATTCGAACATAGATGTCCTAATATATGCGGGGTAAGTATCAAATCGAAAGATTTAAAGTTAAAACTGTAGATTCACCTAATATTTTTTTTTTTTTCTTTTTTTTTCTCCAGCGACGCCGATTTTATTTGTAATTGGTTGGGAAATGAAGCTTGGGTCAAAGAATTGAAATGGGAAGGTAAACAAGGATTTAATGAAGCCAAAGTTAAAAAATGGATCACGGAAGACACATCTAAGCATGCGGGAGATGTTAGAACTTACGAAGGATTAACATTCTTGCGTGTATTCAAAGCAGGTCACATGGTTCCATATGATCAGCCATCGGCTAGTTTAGATTTCTTTAATAGATGGATTAATAAGAAATCAATTTAAAAGAAATGTATCTCGTTATATATTTTCTGATTTTGTTTCATAATTAAATATATTCGAGAGTTTTATTGTTATTATTATTTCATTATTATTATTATTCACACTTCAATAAATAAATTCAATAAATACATTTTAATTGATATATGATAATAAATACGTGATATATTAAAAATTCTGAATATTAATTACTTGAGATTCGTTTAAACAGTTCGGAATGGTAAGATCAATTTGTCTAGTATCAAGATTATCAACAGTATTACTAATTACGCTACTTGTTTGCATACTTGAAATACAAGAACTTGTATCATATAATGTAGAAGATAAAAAATGGTTACTTGAAAAATTATCATCATCACAAACTATACTTGTATTATTCTCAACAATTTCGTTATTCGAATCATTATCCCATTTTTCATAAATCTTATCAATTAATAACCATTTAACAAATTTAGCATATAATTCTTTTGCGGTTGGTCTTTGAGTATGATCACCATTCCAACAAGATTGAATTAAGTTCCATAATTGTAATGGAACGCCATTAACGGGAGGAGGTCTTAGACCATTAATAACTAATTGTACCAAATCGAAATCATGAGAAAGGTTATCATAAGGTCTTTTACCACTTAATATTTCCCAAGCCACGATACTAAAACCGTAAATATCAGCTTCGGGTCCATAAAAGTTATTAGATAAAACTTCAGGAGCAACGTAAGGAAGAACACCAAAGATCGATCCTTTACTACTTAATTCTTTTGTTTCTTCCGTATTAGGACGACATAATCCTAAATCCGACACGTAAAAGGAATTTTTACTTTTTAAAATATTGCCGGAATGGATATCAGCATGAATTAATTTAGCCGAGTGAATATCTCTTATAGCTTGAATAATTTCTTTTAATATACGCAATTTATCTTGAAACTTAAGACCGTTATAATTCTTTGAAAGATAAGTTCTTAAATCACCACTTTCAGCGTATTCCATAACGATCATGTAATTCTCATTATTCGGTTCTCCTGTTGCTCCATAAACTAGTGGAGTGTTTGAACTATAAAGTTTTGCTTGCAAATCCAATTCTCTTATGAAATTTTTAATCACATTTTTATTACCTAATAATTTTTTCAATACTACTCTTTCGGGTCCTGAACCATTTACACCGGCTTTCCAATTTGCTGTATAAATTAAACCTTCTCCACCTCTACGTAATAAATTGATTTTCTCGAATTCATTTAATGGGATGAAAAATATTGGTAAATTTTTCGGATTTTGTTGGTTAAGCACGTGCGTACTTTTTAAATAATCATCCAATTGTTCTGATCCACTACTAGTAAAATTTTGAATTCTCTTTGATATTGTTGATGTCGTTTGCATTGTTTTGTTTAAATGAGTGATTGATATGAGAAAAAGTTGATGAAATAATGGAAGGTTTTATATAACAATTGTTCAATCAAAGCGCAGCCGTAAAAAAATTTTCTATATTGAAACAAACAAAGAATATAATAATAATGAGGAATCATGAGACAATTGAAACTCAGAGTCGTCGTCTTTTTTGATGGAAGGGGGATTTTTCTTTCATGCTTGATGACGATCCGATTGTTTTACTTTTATAGATATTCTCTTCATAATAATTCCATCTTTTAAATCTTTTAAATTGTTCTAGCTTTCTAATTTTTTTCTTATAAATTCTTTAAATATCTATATCTAGTTAAAATTGTTTGTATAAAAATCACAAAGCTTTTATGAATGAAAAAACTGATCAATTCTTATCTCTATGCAAGATTACATCATCATATGACGTACCCATAAACATTTGCTTTTGTTGAGACAAAGTTAAAGATTGTCGGTATTTAAATTCGCATAAGATTAGAAACAACTATTTGTTTTTTTTTAAAAAAAAAGAAACCAAATGCATCTTTGCCCAGTCAAAAACAACAACGCCACAAACAAAGATAATTTTCGACCATCCTAGTAATTTGTTACACTGATCATATCGGCAAAGTCATTTCATCACGAATTGCTTAATCATTATAATCTCATCCATTTCATCCTGTAGATATATTTCCAACAATTAAAAATTATTTGCTGACTTACAGATTCCAAGCATTTTTGCTAATATTAATAACATTATAAATATTTAATAAAACAACCTCTCTTTCCAAATCTTATGAAATTTCAATCCTATTTCTAACAAGTAATTTTCATTATTATACCTGAATTATTAAAGAATTAAATTATTTATATATAAAATTTTATTTTTTTAAATTAATAAAAAATATTAAAAACATTATTATTGACCTTAAAAGAATTAATAATTCTGCATCACAAGGCTGTAAAAGTACTGTAGTATTTGGTGATAAAAAATGTATAATCATATTTGTTAAAATTACATTTTTATTTATAATATATACTAATGCATTATCAACTAGTAAAAGGATGTGATAGTTTTGTAATTGCATCTATTTATTTAATTTTGTTCTATATTGGAACTTGCATTTAAGCAGTTAAATTTCAATAATAATTAACTGATAAATCTTTCTTTTTTTCTCATGTAAATTTTGATATATATGAATAAAAATGGTTTTAATTGTCAGTTTTAGTTACATTACATATAAATAGAAGTGTAATATATTATTTAGAATTTTTCAAAAAGTAAGTCTTATGCTAATGTCTTTGAAGGTTTAATATCCTAATACAATTCTAAAATAAATAGTAAATATTAAAATATTATTTAATTATTTTAAAGAAAATTGAGAATTATCTTTTCATCACAATTAAAAATATAATTTAAATTATAATCTTTAATAATTTCACATAAAATCTTCTTTTTTTCATCTAATATTTTTAATAATATATTTTTGCTTTATCTCATTTAATATATTATTTAAATTATAATATTTTTTAAATATATTAATCTATCTATTAAAAGTTGCAAAATTATTAACTTCAAATTATTATACAAAAATATTTAACTTTTTCTTATAAAATATTAGTATTATAATAATTATAATAAATGCATTAGTTATTTATAATAAAAGAATCTTCTTTATTTAAGAAAAATAAACAGAATTTTTTTCTTTTAATTTGACTTTTCTAAATCTAGATTTATATTCAGCTACTTTTCTTTTTAAAAAATATTAAAAATAATATTTTTCTTAAATATTATATAAAGTGATAAGTTCTTTTTAAGTAAATCATGATATTTTTTGATAATCTAAATAGAGTTATTTTTTATATATATATGTTAAAATAACATACTTTTTGTTTGAGAAGTTTTTGAATTGACTTTCTTTGTTACAATTGATATATGATTTTTAAAGCAAATAAAAATACACTGTTAACGTGCAATTCTTGCGAATTACGACAGTTAGACGGGGTGTTCGAGTGGTAAATCTTTTTAAGTTTACGTA